GTGTGTGTGTGTGTGTGTGTGTGTGTGTGTGTGTGTGTGTGTGTGTAGAGGAGGGATGTACTAGCTGCTCACTTCCTTCCTTTGACTCCAGCTGAAAAAAGCCAAGTTTGACAACAGAACACAAGGAAACGAAAACGCTGGAGACGGTGCGATGACAGAGGGTTCCCTCTCAAATATTCATGTCAATATTTTCAACAAGTTACAACATGCAACTCTGATCCAGAGGGGGAAGTGTGAGCGACCTGTGATCAACACTGGATAATTCGACTTCTTTCACCCGACATGTGTGATTATCTCTTCAAAGCTGTATACTGTTTCTGTGTCTTCCAGCTCGGTAAGTAAGCTTTGACTCATTAATATCTTAGATTTTATTGTGCAGAACATTTTATCCAAGCTAACTGTAATTTGTGTTCGAGGAACCTGTCAGCTCCACTCAAATTAAACTTGTTAAAGCTGTTTTTTCCCTTGAAGTAGCGTGAGTTACAGAAAACTTGTTTTCACAAAATGTTCTTCAAGCATCTTAGTCTGCTAAATTGTTTCATTTTCAATTCTCAAACCCGCTTTTTTTTAACTGTATACATAAATTGTTGGATTAATTTTGTGTGGATACCGTTTTTGATTTGCAGTATGTCTATAAAAGTTTTAATAGTCTTGTTTAGGTCAGTTTTTTGTGCAGTTGAAACTTTTCCTGACCCCAAACTGTCCTTATTTTAGGCTTTTGTGAAAAATGCTCAAATGGCGTTTTGGGGAGAAGTCAGACATTTTATGCGCCTGAAGGGTCCAGCATGACGCTGTCCTGTGTGGTCCAACACTGTGGAGAAAACTGGACTGGAAACTGGACGTATAAAAAGTTAACAAATGCAACATCTGGCACTGTTGGGGATGGGGGAAAGCATCATTTCAGCCATTTGGCTCTGTCAAACAATGAAACCCAGTTAAATTTAACAATTCGTAGTGTCGGTCAGTCAGATGCTGGTTCTTATAAATGCAGTGTTATCTGGGAGGATGGGAGCAGGGATGAAGGCCACTGGATGCACCTGAATGTCACGAAAGGTACGTACCGTCACATCTCCATTAAATGTGTCATTTCGAGCAGCTGGTTATTTTTATTTTTTCTTCATTTGTTCCAAATGATCATCCAGAGGTCCCCGTTCAGAGAAATGCCTTGCACAGGTTTTTAATCTGTGCTGGAGCTTTCTTTTGGCTTCCTGTTTTCCTGTTATTGGCTCGTCGCCTGGGTTCAAAAGTCAAGCCTCACACACGCCCCAGAACACAGGTCATATATGAAGTTGTACAGGAAGACAGATCCCATCAGCTTCCACAGCCTCTAACTCAGCGTCCTGTCCCAAAGAAACGCACCAATCCCCCTCGCAAAGGTACCTGTGATTCTTGACTTCTTTAGCTTAAAATTTTATTGTCTAAAAAAAGTCGCTGTTTTCTGTGCTTGAATTTTCAGTGTCATCAAAGCCACTGCCAAAGACTGAGGTGGGTGAAAGTTCTGCCTGACTGGAACTAATCTGGTCTCGTCCAAAGCAAATTTGCATTTTACTTTTTGTTTCACTTTCATTTTACCTCTTATTTTACAGTTAGTGTATGCAGACATTTCCCAGGAAACACTGAGGCAACAAAGAGCTATGAGGGAGCCAGCTCAGTCCACTGTCTACTCATCTGTCCACTTTTCCTCAGCCACTCACCAAAAAAACGAAGGATCAGTATAAAAAAAAAAGACGTTTGAGACGCTACCTGATTGTGCGTTTTGCTCTTTAGCTATACGTTTTCCCTGAATATCAAAACACAAAGTTAGCAGACAAGGTTTTTTTTATTTATTTATTTTTGCTCTCTCTTATGACAATGGTGCGATTATTAAGGTGAAATTTACACTATAGTTAATGAGTCAAAGTAATAGTGCACCGGTCACTCATTGAGCCACTCCTTACATTTAATATCTCCTCATGGTTTAACTTCCTTGCAGAAAAGAACAAGAATAAAATCTCCAGAATCAAAGAGACGACTAAATTTACCCTCAAATGCATTTCCTGGAACTCTACAGCCATACAACTTCTACCTTCAGGTTTTACAGTACCTCTGACCATGAAAAAATAATTATTTTAGTCCCACCTTTTTAAATAAAGGAACAAAAGTAGTAGATTTGTAAATAGTTGTAAGCATACAGTTTTATGCAAGGTTTTAGGTATTGTGTGATGGTGTCTGGGTTTTGGGTTTTATGTGTGATTTGTTTTATGTTTCAATGGCTGTGTTCAAATTCAGGGGCTGTGTCCTTCGAAGGACCTGGCCTACCCAGTGGGCCGGGTCCTTGGTCGACCACGAAGACCAGTTTAGCCTTCTGCTTTATTCCCACCCTTACCCTGACGAATGTCCTGTGCTAAACAAGCAAAAATAGATCAAAATGAGCAAAATATCAATATATTATTAATATTATAAAATAACTTATTTAGCTTAAAAGGCAATATTTGAAGAACTAAGGGATCCGCCGTACATATGTTAATTTCAATATATACCAGCCTGTTTGATTTCTGACAAGAATATTAAAAAACACGTCTACGCAATTGACAAAAAGCCTAATAATGCAACCACTTTAAACTTTCAATTTTTATACTGCCAGATTTTTAGTTAAAACTGTACTCTTTTCTCTCAGTTCTTCCAAAAAGACAAAAATCTCCGGTCGGCACACAATGCATTTTGGAATAGACTGGCAGGGCTGAGAAGGATCCACCGAACATCAAATCGGCAAAAAAGAAGGACGCATTTGTGGGCCGCAATCAGAGGAGTCTTCGAATTTGGTTAGCCTCCGGCGCAGCACAATTACGCAAGAGGACGACAGTTTTTGCCTTCTGAGGACCCAGTCACTGAATTTGGACACAGCCAATGATGTCTGAGCCTCTGTCCTACTCAAAGAGACATTTCTGTTACAACTTGTRACATTTTTTATCTTTAAATATCTTCTAAGCTACACTGAGTATTTTGCGAGATAAACTTCTTCTGGATCATACCAGGTGAATTGTTTTTTCTCAGTCCCTGAACAAAACATTTGTTTGTGCTTATAACTCTTCTTTTTAACATTATAGTGGATCTACTTATTGAAAAACAAACATGTTCTGCATGCACAGCCTGCAAGAAATGTAACACAAATGACACAAAATACATTTTATTGTAGAATAAATTCTCAATGGCACATTACAGAACCAAATATACATATACTTATTTAGACATCTTTTAAATTAATATATCTCTTTTTAATTATTTGACTTTAGTTRTCATCACACTCTGCAGCGACATTTTTACATGACATTGATGCAAAATAAGTTTTTGTTTGAGAATAAAGCATATCGACTGAGAAAATAAGCTGCAGGGCAGTTTTGGACGATCACGCTATGAACTCAGCGACTCCTGAACTTCCTGTTTCTGTCCAGAGGAGTTCTGCCCCGGCTTCTTTACTCAAACTAATCATCAACCTGCTTCAACTCATCGGCTGCTAGTCTGGGTACACCAGAAAGACACTTTTCATCTAGTTTCCTTGCAGAAAAAGTTGAAGTTTTAAGTAATTTCTTACCTGTTTTTGATAGCTTCTTGTACAGCTTAAGTTTGGAGAAACAGTTAATGTCCAGCAGGACTGATGAGCTATTCGTCCAACTGCTATTCATGCTAGCACAATTTTATAAAACACTGTCCATTTTGCCTTGTATCRTTATTTGGAACTCCATGGTTGTTTCTGAGTGTAAATAGCATAGATTGTTTATATTTAGAACTTCCCTCACCTTCTATTTTTGTTTGGGGATTTAGGTCAGCCGGACCCGGTTTATGGAAGCTGCCATGTTTTATTTTTGGAACCWGAGTCTGCACACTAGGGATGCTGAACTTTAGGCCCCGTTTACTCCTCAAGGGTAATGTCATGTTCATTTATGTGGAGTGGGTAAGACTTAAAGTGTACTGGAACTGGTCTTGTTTTAGCTTGAACTGCCTTGTTCTGATGATGGATACTGTCTATGGGTAAAAAGCACAAGCCATACCAACGGATAGCACTTCCAGGGGACATTTGCGGTCACATTTGGAGAAGGTATCTTTGTAGTTTTTCCAGAATAACCATGAAATGCAAAACTATCAGCGGTCGAAATCATAACCTTCTCATGAAACTCTGAAATCTTTGAACAGCTGCCAAGCTTTAAAACAACTGGAGCTATTTCACCTGTGATTGGTTTGCCAGGTGAGCCCAATTCAAGGAAAAACTACTGAAGAAGGATGTTTCACTTTATTAAGCAGACTGAAATTATCAAGCAGTATGGGAAATAAAAATTATCTCTGCTGCAGAAAAGCATGAAATAGTTCAATGTCTTGGACAAGGTAGGAAAGCCTTCGATATTTCACGGAAACTTAAACTTCATCATCGTGTTAAGAGATGTGTGGCTGATTCAGAACAAACCAGGGTTCATGCAGATAAAGACACCATGAGGTTTCTAACATACATATCCAGCAGGTAAAATAAGTATTGAACATGTCACCATTTTTCTCAGTAAATATATTACTAGAGGTGATAATGACATGAACTTTTCACCAGGTGTCAGTAACAACCCAAGTGATCCATACGTACAAAGAAATCAAACCATAAATGTCCAAAAATGAAGTTTTTTGTAATAATGTGGAATGGCACAGGGAAAAAGTATTGAACACACTTACTGAAATTTATCTAATACTTT